TTTAATAGAATTTGAATATCTGTGGGAAAAAATGAGTCCAGGAGATATTAGATACCCAGAGTCTTACAGTTTCTTGTATGAAATGGTGTCAAAGCATTATTTTTTCCTGTCTTTTTTTCTATATAAGTTTATACATAAATAATTTCTCAGAATAAGATGCAAAATAACTTAGTGCTTATAACCTACATATTGTTTCTTATTACCACAAGCTTATTTGGAAGCCCTGAAGAAACAATTACACTTCTGTCACTGTAACTGAGGTGTGTGGACCCCATCTGACTTGAATAAACATAGCTGAGGGCAGAATGATACCAGCACTAACCAGAGTGATAGGTACCTGAATACTTCGGTAAAAAAGGGAAGAATTGAGTCTTACGGGAAAATCATGTGTGCATACTATGGACAGAAAACACTAGGCTTTTCTGATGTAAATTCAGACTGAACTCGTTGCTGCATTGTTGGTGTATCAGAATGATAACAAATCAGAGATAACTGTATATCGTGTACCATACAAGATGTTCACAGCACAATTGTTTTTCCAGTATGTGTTTTGTGATAACAACATATATTTTCCTAAAATAGTACTTAATAACCTGTGATAGCTTATATTACTGATTACAAAAACAAACACTCAGTTCAGTGAAGGGATTTTTGTTTTATTTGGATTTGTTTAAATGACATGCTATTTAGAGTTTTGAAGGAGAAGGGAAGGATTGTTTAAGGGATGTGCTACAATCTCAGCATTCTAAAGACTGGTACATATGTGTAATTACTTACACATACTACTTGCACAAAAGAGATAAGATGTGAGAGAGAAGAGGAGCACTTAAAAATCTAGAGGATCACCCGTTCTCATGTGGACACTGTGGAGAGGCCAAATGAATAGAACAACGACAGGCATGGAAGGAGGAAAATGCAACTTCTACCACAGACTTGTTGTTCCTGTTGCATTTTCCTTAGCAATAATATTTCCAGTGAGACAGTCTCTTGAGTTCTGCAGGTCCCAAGCGTAAGTCAGGAATGAAGTTCATCAGGCTGTTAGCCGTATTGGCCACATTTCTTTTTTACTTCTACACGATTCTTTCCTATTCCCATTTTTATGTTCTCCTTTTCATTTACTTTAGCTGTGATCTGTACCTTGTACATTTATCCTTAATTGCCAGGTTAGAAGCCTGATGCAAATACTGCCTTCTTTTTGAGAGAGAGTTTCTCTCAGCACTGTTAAATTCTGTTATTCCCTTCAAAGGTCTTTCCAGTTCATCTGCAGTGAAATCTAACTAGCTGTAGTTATTCTAGGGATGTATAATAGATGTTTTTGTCATTATGTAAGTTTCTCTGCAAAGCAGGTGGTGACTAAGAGTAGGTGCATCGGGTAGCAGGACAAAAGCAAATACAGAGGTCACCACGGAAGTAGTAAGGAGCACAACACGTGAGACACGTAAAGCACAGTGGTCACAGATGATGTATGTAACCTTACTGAACTGATGATTTTCTACCCTCTTATTTATCCTCACTCAAGTTTGACCTTCAGCATTATTTAATTCAATGAATTTAATTTCATACCAAAAGCATTTTCTGCTTCTTAAATTAAAAAAATTATGCTGAATTAAGAGGCTAGAAGACAAAGAATACATCACGCTTTATATTAAAATTTCATAGTAAAAAGAGCCTCTGTCTAGTCATCTGGCAAGAACAGCAAGTGTATGTGGACAACCTCTGATAACCCTGTGTGCATGATCGAACTCCAGCTGAAATTAATGGAGGTCTTTCCACTGGCTAAATTGAAAGTAAAATTTAGGGTTCATATTCCTCTTTTAAGAATGTGTAAGACAGAAGATACCCTTACTGCCACTAGAAGGATGAGAAGATTAAAGAGCTTTTGTTTCCCTACCATGTAGTAGAAATGTTAAGCCTGAGTCATACACATTATTCAAGCAAAGCTGTTATTATTAGCTGACTCTTTAACTGTTTTCAAGTGATTGAGCAGATGCTCTGAAATTCAAGAAAGGCTTCATGAATTGTTCACAATACAACAGAAATACTGGTAAAGAGCTCTTTTCAGTTGAAAAGAAAACTATGCTGTTCATTCTCTTAAATCTGCAAGAGCTTGTCTTTGTGCTAACAAAAAGAACGTCACAGTCTCAGTGCTTCTGTTCTCAAGTTGCGAAAAAGAACCTTTACTTTTATTTCGTCTACTATTGTTATTGTTTTCATTGAAACACCTTTCACATCTCTGAAGGATGCATCTATAGGCAGGGTTGTTCTTGACAGCATGTCACCAAAGGTCAGGTCAGAGTTCCAACATAACACTTCAAAATAATGGGAGAATTAATTAATAGCCACTTCCAGCAGTAACACTTTGTGATATCAGTGACAAATTAGATGGTTTCACGGGGGCAACCCTCTTTTACAAAGAAGTGGTGAAATATTGGTAACAGTATGCTGTGTTATGGGCTTCTTGTAATGGGAAAAATAATGACTAATGAAGCTTACACAAATGAACAGTTAAAATTGTAAAGAATGAACTACCTTAAAATAACAGCCTAAGCTGCAGTTAAGAACTAGCAAAAATTTAAAGTTATACCTACAGGGTGATACAGAGTAAAACATATAATCTGGGATGTAGTCTTCGGCTGGTGTTCCACAAGCGATTGAGTCAGCATAATAGCTTGTTACCACCGGAAAGATCTTGATCCCTTCCTCTCTATCTCCCCTCCCTTATCATGCCCTCACTCCTTCCTCCTTTCCACGGCTCCTGGCCGTATGATCATCCTGCTCCTCTTGCACTTGTGCTCGAACATGTAGGGTTCTTTACTGACCTGACTTAAATGACTGCAACGTCAGAAAACTTCATGTTTTATTTTTCCTTTTATTGGGTTAATCTTTTACCATTTGATAAGTTAAAGTGGCTCACAGAGGGATCTGGCAAAGCACAAGTTAGCAGTGGATACCAAGGTAAGCAGCAGAGAAAGGTCACAGGACATCATTCTTTTATGGATGGTAAACTTGTTACGTCAGGTCATGCAATCTCTTGGAATCATAGTTAGACGACTTACTTGGGAGCAAAGCAGGGAAAATGGATTCCTACTGACTTTAAAGAGTAGTGAAAATGCTAAGCAAGTGTCTTCTGTAGTGTAAGTAATGTCTAGTTTGACATTCAGACAAGTAAATAAGAATTTTTTTTTTTTTTTTTTTTTTGGCAAAGTAATAATTTACCAGAATACAACAGAGCAGTGAAGCTGCCCAAAAAGAGTTTCTTAAGATCCAGGAATTTCTAGTTTTAAAAAAACAAGGTTACATGCCTGATAGTGGGTGTATTTATTTGTGATGTGGAAGAGCAATATAGCATGGTCTGCATTCTTGGTCTCTAGTGTCCCAGAAAAACAGGCTAAATGACCACCACTCTGTTAGCTGTTCTTCTTCCTGTTCTTTGTCAAACCTTATAGGTGCTACTCAGATTTGTCTTGATGTGAAAATTTTTCAAATTGCAAAAATTGTGAGATGGAAAAACATTTCCTATTCAACTCCTCATACCACTGGTTTAAACATTGACTTTTTTTCTTTAGTTTTAGAAAATTTTATTTGTTTCTTTCTGATATTGTTTACTCCATTGCATGAGAGAACTGAGTGAAGGAAGAGCTTTAACTTCTCAGTAACATGTCCGGGATGCATCCCAATTTGAATTTTCTCATTTAAATGTACTTGGTGCTAGGGCTGTACTGTACTTGCCACTACAGAAAAGGAATACCATCAGACAGTCCACAGGAGGTTTACAAGGATACCAAAAAATCGCACCAATACTTAACTCTCTTGCATGCTCCACTTTCATGGTCCACATCCTTTATCCCATTCTCTCCTTCACAAAAGCCCTGGCAGATCTGTCGTGAAGCCCCCATTCAGTGCCAGCACTGCATTTAATTTTCATATAAAGAGCATGAATTAGGCAAGTGTAAGCATGGAAATTCAGAATATAATGCATATTGTGCTGTGAGTGGCGACAGGTGTGTGTTGCTTTTAAAATCACCAAGTACAAAATGCCTGGTTTTGTCTTTTGTTTTCCCTTAGTACTGCTGTGATACTAGGAGACATGGATTGCAATGTTCTTTGGTGCCAAAGTTTTTGAAGTTGCTTTCAGAATATATGTTGTAGTTTCCTTACTTGTTTTGTTCTGCTTTGTCCTCTGGCTCTTATTTTGTGTCACATGTGAGCCACTGGAGTTCAACTGAAACCCTTCATAGTACGTGCTGTATAAAATTCTAAGCTCCACACATGCCTGTATGGCACTTCTCTTAGTTTTGTTTGGTAGGAATAACATATAGCAGCACTCTGATTAGCAGATCAGTGTGGTCTGTTCTCTTTCTGAAGAGTTCTCAGTCAGAGTTTGCATTCACCACTCTCTTAATTTATACTGTGCAAGATCAAGCTCCAAACATCAATGGCATAATCTGAGCATACATTTTAATTATAAATAATGGGGAATATATGTTTTTTTAAATATTTTGAAGGAAAAGAACCTTGTGCCCCACCCAAGATCCTAGATGCTAAAGTGGAGGAGAGTTCTGAAGTACCTATTTTAGAAGACACATCATCATCACCAACAGATGTTCAACAGCATTTATGGCAGGTTTCCACAGATATTGAAAACACTGAAAGGTATGTGTAGCATTTCATTCCTAAACAAAACAGATTTCTGTCTAAGGTTTATTTAGTCTTTTCCAATTAGGCAGCCAGTATTGCTACTATAAAAGGAATTAGTTAATTAAATAACCTGTTAACATTTCTGTTATATTTAACATATCTGAGAGCAACTCCTAAGAGAAGGGCAGAAAGAAGTGACATCCCTAATTAGGCTAATTACCAGAGGGTAATTGTCAGAAACAAAGAGGGGGAAATGATGTTGCTAGTGGGCCAGGTTCTCTAAAAGATACAGCTTTTGTCTCTGTTTGAGTGGTTTCTGATTTTGTACCTGAAAACTGCTGGCCTGCGGTTCTGCATTCATAAATCAAAAACATAGAATCTAGTTCATTTCAATTGTTTCTGCCCATACTTATGAATGTGGAAGCCTTAGCCAAGGAGGGGAACATCATCCACAGGTTTGTCAAAGTGAACTTCTTTTACTCTCTTAACTGTGCAGTTGAAAGTCAAACTGAGACCCTTTAGTAGAGAGTAATCCTGATGACCAACATTTCTTTGCAAAAAATACCTATTTTTATGGCTTTGTATGTTAAACTGCTGCTGAGATTTTAATGGTTATCACCTTTATTTATATAAAACAAATTCTATTCTATTGAGAGTAACTTGGAGAATAAAACTGAGCAATTTCTTATTAGTCATGGTGCTTCATTTCTAAGAACCATTTTATATGTAGATGAATGAGGCAAGAACACATTGTTTTAAAATCCTGAAGCTATTCTATTACAATCCTATACAAATCCTATTACAAGCTTGCACACATAATTGCTGGTCTGCCATCTATCTGTAAAAGAGCAACCTTTTTGCAACTTCTGGCCTCTCTCAAAACACATCCAAATGTAACTTGCTTTGTGAGATTATATTTTGTTATCCTATTTTCCATCTTCTGCCTTTTAGAAGATTTCGTACCAGAGTCCTCCTAAGAGGGGTGAAAGTGACAGCCTTGTTCCTAAAATTTTCACTTAATGTGCAGGGAGCTTAAGTGTCATGGATTAGCTACATGTATTATAATTTCCTTCTGAACAATGAAACGCATTCATGGCACAAGCTACAAAATGCTGATAAGGGGTATTAAGTTGACATTAGCACTAATTTTAAGGCATATTATGTATTCTGCCACTAGGATCACATTGTGCTCACCCACTCATTTAATATGGAATACTCAAGTGCCAGTATAGATCATAAATTTGGACCAGATGCAACAGGTTAATATCAGACTGGCTTATAAGTGCTCCTGTATTAAATCTACCACCATTTATTTTGGTATGCATCTTATGATACATGTATGTGAATCAAATGCTTGCCTAATAGATTTTTGTATTTATTGCTCCATTATTTCAGCGTATAAAGGCATACTGTGAGCCATTCCCTATTCAGTCTTCAACTGCTATTCAATTGTGTCTCTTTCAACTTTTTCTTCCACAGAGATATGAGAGAAATGAAAAACCTTTTAAGTAAACTCAGGGAGACTATGCCTTTACCACTGAAAAATCAAGGTAGGTTTTGTATTTTCTTCATGTCGGGAAAATCAAGATCATTAAAGGGTTTACCTTCCATTAGATCCAAAAAATCTAGGGTTTTTTTTGTAGAAGTTACAAAAAGAAAAATCTAGGTGGAGTCTTTTCTCTACTGATTCAGTGGAGCCAGAATTTAGTATGTGATCTTTGACCTCTAGATATTCACATGAGGTATTCTGGAATTTTACAGATGTGGTATCTATAGATAAAATAATAGACTTTTCCTGGTGACATGAAGGCAGCAGCACAACTAATTCCCTGTGTCAGGCTTTCTTTTTCAAAGGTAATGAAGGTGTAAATTGCACAGACTATGATAGGGATCCTACTGAGTGATGAAGTTTGCTTTACCCCTACAAGACTTGTAGCTTCCATGACATGACACTGACTCTATGCAGAAAAGATACTTGCCTTGAGTCTGCTAACAGCCTACTTTTCCCAGCAGCCAGCTATAAGGCACCCCAAACAAATGCATAGAGAGGCAGGATCTCCATCCTATGCATCTATTTAGCAATGGGCCTTCATTTTGTGGCCCAGCAGTGTTAAATATTCTACATCTATGGGACTCTGTTTCTTCATGTGAACAACGTTAAAAAGATAATGATTTTTCTTTTGGATTTCTTCTTGATAATGTGTATTTCTTAAATGCTGTGTAGTCTTTGCACAATGGCAGCCAATGAAGTATGCCTAATGTGTCCCAGATCTTGTCCCAAGTAACTAAGCAGTCTAGCAGTCATCATAATATGGTAAGAGATGAATATAGAATGGATTGATTCATTATACAAGTAAGAGTTTATGACAGGATGGCTTGATGGAAAACTATGTGAAAGGAGAAAGGGAATTTCTTAAAATAGATGATACAGATGTGCTATTGTAAAGACTGGAAAAATGCCATAGAGTCTATGCCTAGCCTAGAAGAAAGGAGCATGGTGGAAATAAGGAAGGAAAAGAAAACTTTGGGGGATATAAAGCATATAGAAGCTTGAATTCAGAGCAGAGATTAAGGCATACAGAATTCTTCTCTGCTGTCTGGTGTCTATACTGCCCCTCAGCACTGGCCAGGAAACCACTGATCACCTGTGCAGCAGGATGAGAAAGGTGTCAGCTGCAGTTTAAAAGCTCTGAGAGATGCCCCAGAATCAGGTAGGCATAAATGGTGTTTTTGTAGCTCCCACAGACTCCAACCATGATCACAGTTTACAGATGACCTCTGAGAATGTACGCCTCAGGAATGGACAGTCAATACCTTTTATTGATGCAGCACTTAAATGTTTTGAAATTTTCCAAGACCTTTAATTAATTAAAGATAACAATATAAGTAAATAGAAGACACAAACAACATTATAGGTAATTAATATGGTCCGGAATGTAATTTTGATATGTATATGAATTACAAGCACTGTTTAAGAGAATGATTTTGAGATGAATGACTGCCATTGAATGAGTTGATCTTTACAGGACTCTATCCTGCTTTCAGTGAGTGAGTGTTTTGCAGTGACAGTGAGAATGGAGTTAAGATTGCAAGCCCACAAAAACTTTACATAAATGTTACTGACTGTTCACAGACCTGGTTTTTTGTATGGAATTCTCTTAAGTGACAGCAGGAAAGTTACTATGCTAAGAAATTTAGTTGATGTGGATTGTAAGCTTGAGTCACAATATTAAATGACCTCTTGCTTATGTTTTATAATAAGTATTTGTATTACAGTAGTGTCTAGAGCCTACAATCAAAACTAGGTCCCTGATGTAACCAGAGTAGGAACATAATGAGGCATAGCTCTTAGCCTGAAATCATGCCTGAAGATGGCTGAAATTCAAAGTGAATTCTAAAGATCTTGTGAAATAGCTCGCTGATAGTGCATGAGTTAACATAAGGCAGACGAGTTAACCTCAAGGCAGCCAATCCTCCAAGCTGGA